TCTCTCTCTCCCTTTCTGTTTCATTTGTATCACTGTGTGTTCAGTAACCTCACTGCAGTTGGTACGAAAGAATTTCTATATCTGTCTGTTCTTGCTTTTTTCCGATGTCAGTGGGTGGCTATGGTCACTAAGCATTATTTCCGCCATCTTTAGAACGTTTGTACAGATATTCAAAGCTGCTTAGGTCTCTATCAATTGTTCTTGATGTCTTTTGATCAACTTGTTTATTTTTATGAATTGTTGCCTTCCAAAATTACCACCATAGCAAGTGATACCAAAGTTTATCAAAGTTTCTATTGTGGTGGTGTAGAATATCTGAAGGATGGATGGATTCAGATTGAAAGACCGGAGTTTCCTCAGAGAGTACAGCCTCTGATTTACATTTTTAACGATATTGTTTACGTGGTTTTGCCATGTACATTTGTTGGCGATTGTAAAAGCTGGATATTTGTATGAATCCGTGATTTCAATTGTTTCTTGTTCAATTACGAGTGATGTAATTGTTGTTTTGTTTGTTTTCTTCTAAAATAAAAAAATCATTTCCTTTGTTTTTGAGAGGTTCACTTTTAGAAAATTTGAATTGCATCATTTAAAGAACATACTTATTTCTCGAAATTTCGAAATACTCTTTTTCATCATGCAAGGTTTATTAATCCAACAATAGCGGAGTCATCTGCAAACTTAATGAAGCGTGTTGTTTAATATTTACGGCTATGATCGTTGGTATGTATTGTATACCAAACTGATGACAAACACAACCCTGAGGACCGCCGGTGTTACAAAGGATTGTGTCAGATTTTGTGTTGTTCAGTTTCACATATTGTGGTCCGCCTGTTAAACATTCCAGGACACATGTTGCGATATGATGACTAACTCTCAGACTCAGAATATATGTATGCATGTGAGTGCATGTGTATATGTGTGTGTGTGTGTGTGTGTGTGTGTGTGTGTGTGTGTGTGTGTGTGTGTGTATTTGTGCGCGCGTGTGTGTGTGTGTGTGTGTGTGTGTGTGCGCATAATATAAAACATCAATGGTAAATTACCGAGAATGTAAGGGGTGTGTGAGTGTTTGTTGTTGCTCTATGTTTGTGCCTGTGTGTGATAGAGTGTATGTTTGTGTGTCTTTGTGTGTATGTGTGAATGTGTGCGTGTATAAGTGTATTTGTTTATATGTGTGACACAGTGTGA